CTTTCTCTCTCTCTCTCTCTCTCTCTCTCTCTATATATATATATATATATATATATATATATTCCATAAAATTAAATGAATTCATTCTCAAATGAAGATGTACAGATTTGCAGCTTCAGACATGCATACTGAATAGTAAAATAATAGTGTAATAATTTATCTTTTTATAAATTCAGACATTATAAAAATGGTTCTTTTTCTGTAAATACTTTCTCCTTACCTAGAATTCAGCTACAGCAGAAGAAAGTGAGTCTAACACTACTGAATTGGAGGGAAAGGGAAAAAAGAAAAAAAGAAACCTTAACAAATTCATTTATCTGCCACAATGATTGTGATTTTTTTTTTTTAGTTTCACTTCAGCCTTAAGCCTAATGTTGCAGGGGATGCAAAATGTGCATGCAATTTGAATTACATACAAATGCAGGCAATCTAGAAGTGCTCCCCAATGTCCTTGACAACACTTCAAGGAATCTTGGGATTAGTCTCTTCAAGTGAACTATATGGTCGCCAAGTATAGCCTACAACATTTTAATCTTGGACAAAATAACAAATAGTGTGTGCACACATACACACACTTACTGCCAAGTTACAATGTGTAGTACTCAAAATAAGCCATTTGGCTCATGGGGCAGAGAATCCTACAAGTGTCTCTTCTCATCTCTGGAAATATAAATACAATAAGAACAATTTAAGAACAAAACAATTTGCTTTTGTGATACTCAAAATCACTTTGCTTACTTACAGTACTAATCCTAAGGACCACGTAGGACAATACAATGCCACCATGTGAAGTAGAATGCAAATTTTTAAACTGTCAAGTTGTGTCTCCTTAAGAAACAGATGCCCAGCCAGGATTATTAATGGGGGAAGCAGAGGAGGACTATTTCTAACTATATAGTTATCTTTCAAAAGCACTTCAGAAATTACCCTGACAGAATAGTAACTTGCTACTATTGCTGCACAGCCTTGTCCTGTAGCTAAAATACAGTGTCAAAAATTCCTTGTGCTCTTTATCCTAGTTTCAGCAATACTGAGACAGTGCTGGTATGGGAACAAATCATGTTCTGGTTGTCCCCCATGACGTAGGCTTCAGGTTTTCCTCTGCAATGAGGGTCTCTCAGAAGGGACATTCAGTTCTGATGTGAGTGAAACGCTGTCAGGCCCAGCCCAAAAACAATGGTGAAACAGTCCAGTCAAGTACAGTTCCTTTATTTGTTTACACCTTATAGACAGAATCTTGCCAAACTAAATCTATACTACTGCAACCGGTGGATATACCAGTGGATATGGGAGATTCTAGGGAGTGGCTGTCCTGAACCTCTCACTCTTCTCATGCTCCCCCTGTGGACTGTGTTGTCTTTTGTCTCCTTTCCCCTGCTGGAATGCAGCCCCTCCTTCCTGATAGCCTTGATCTCCTACATCACTCTCCTCCTCGTAGATACATTCCATCACAAACACTAAGCATTCTGGGCATCATTCAGGGAGCCTCGCAAATACTCCTAGAGCTCTGGGTAAATTAATTTATGGTCTTGAAAAGAATAACTCCTCTCTGTTCTTGTTTTGCTCTAGTCGTGCCATCCAGTCCAACAATGGCCTCCTCTACTAGTCTCCCTTCTAACTGTTCCAGCTCCTCTGGGATCTTCTCCTTCTCACCAGCCAATATGGTCTCAGCAGTGAAACAGAAGAGCGCTTTTGCCCCTGTTGTCAGACCACAGACCTCCCCTCCTCCCACCTGTACCAGCACCAATGGGAATAGCCTGCAAGGTAGGCCAGTCTGGGCATGCTGCTTTTTGTCAGCGTTGGGGATGCGAGTGTGAGTGTGAAAAGGGTAATGGACTTTCAGTTGTCTACATTGCGGGGAAAGGCCTATGATTTCATCGTATGGTTGTTACTCACCCTTGTTCCCTCACAGCCTGTCTTTATTGCCCTGTTGAACTGAAATGCTGTATCTTAAAAGCATGGTCTGAGTGTTTGCTTAAAATGAGTGTATTGCAGCTTACTAATACCAGCCTTTCTCTTTCTTTCCTTTCTTATTCCTTGTTGTTGTCTTTTATCAGACCAGTCTTTTGTGGACTCTAGCAAGTACTCCACTGCAGGGTCTCTCCAGGGTCTGGCCTTCTCCTGAAGTACGTCAGTCAATCTTCCCTTCCTTTCTTTTAATTTTGTTTTTTCCTTTGACATGTCCACATGTGCAAAATCTATACTAAGAGCAGCACTGTTTATGAAGGTATCACAGAATTCAGTTCGCATGTGGTAGTATATCGCTAAATATAGATGGCACATTATGTACTGTGTAAAATTACAAATCTTATTTTCCCATGATTAATGTACCTCAAGTAAGCCACTTCCACTTCCAAACTGTACCTGCCATCTTGAAAACCTGTTCAGCTGTTACCAGTCTTTATTTCTATGCCATCCGAAAGGCCTTAGCTGATTCATGCAAACATGGATTTACAGCTTATCTATGTCTCAACTTATCCATGTCTCTATCAAATTCAGGAAATTTCTTTACATGATTCATGAAAGGGGAACATTGCTTGTACCATCATTTCCACTGTTCTAGATCCATTTGTAGAACATTCTCGTCTTTTATGGAATCCCAGAATTAGCAAAGTGACAGAGTATTCTCTCACAGAGCCAAATGAAATATGGATTAACACCATTAAAACAACATTCAGGACTGGGAACTTTAAAGCAATCACCTTCTTGATTCATCAAATTGGCTATATATGATCCCTATAACTATACTATATTTAAATACAGACAAGCTGAGAAAGTGAGAAAAATCCACTGAGATGAATTCAGAGAGTCATTTTAGGCTTTCATTTGTGTGATCAAGCCACCAGTAAATATTTTGATGTAGAGTGTGTATGTGTGTATGTGAGATATAGATAGTTCATGATACGTCATGTCAAAGTTATAGGTAATAACACTTTTTATAATAATTATCATGTTAATATCTATGTTTTAAAAAGGATAATGCAATCAATCTATGCATGTGTAGATCAACTAGAAAAAATTATATTTCACTGCATTTGTTTAAGATACTAGTTCCTAGCGTTTGCACAAAATTTCTACATTACTGAAATAGATTCAGTAATTTCCAAAAATGGTCAAAAAACAATTCTCCAGTTGTCCTTCCTAAAGACAAATTGAAAATTGACTTTCCTTCCTTCCATCTGTCGAAAATAGCATTGTTAAATGCAAATACATCGTGCTACTTTTCCCTATGAATTATTTTTAATAAGAATTAAGCCCAATACATCATGGCATTGCAAACATATCTCAAGACATCCCTCATAGACATTCTCCAAATCCTAACAGTGTAGTAGTTTAAATTCAGAACTTAAAAGCTGAGATTCCAGGAGCTTACTCAGCAACCTGCCTTAACAGAGTGCAATTTCTTTATTTTATTTTTTTTTAAGTGAACATATTGGATCAGATTTGTTTTTGAAATTCCCTTTACTTTTATAAGCAATGTAGAAGAAGGATACTGCTCTTTGCATAAATGTATTTGAGGAGTTAGAGATCTAATTTCTTGCTTTTTTGAATCTTGGCCTTACTCCCATTTTCCAAACAAAAGAAGCTTGTTTGTGTAAATGTTTCTTTTAATTCCAAGACAGTGAGGACTAAATGTAACACTTTGAAATGTGAGAGGCCTGTCTGAGGTAATCCACATAAAAGTAGAATAGCCAGGTTTGGCAAATACCTTTTTTTATCTCCAAGGATTCAAAAATTGTCTTCTGGAGGTTTTATTCTATCATTGATTAGATTACCATAAACTATCATTTTATGTCCAATTTCACATTTCTGTTTGGTTTGTGTTGGTAATGTTGACTTAACATCCTCAATTTCCCAACTTCTGAATATAATTTTTTCATGACCAAATATCCTTATGGGCAGATTTGATTAAAAAGAGTGTTGGGTTCCATATGCAATTTAAAACTGTTTGTCGTACGTGCATTGGACTGCAGGCCTGGAGAGTGAAAAATATCTAATTAACACATGGACCATACATATCATAAAAGCAAATTCCCTGTTTCACTGTTTAGTTTGGTTTGTTGGAGGGCTGCCCTACTGTGCTTAACCCCCTCATAATTACTGCACCACACTCTAAAGCACTGAGTAGAGAGACATTTCATGCTCACTTAGTCAAGAAGGGTCTCACAATCCCCAGCTGCCTCAAACAGCTCTGGGGGTAGAGGGTTACTGACACATGCTCATTCATACTGTAAACAAAAAGGACTTACTGTGCCTAGAGACAAATGCTACATCCAGTACAACAGACAAATCCTAAGGGTAAAACCCAGTCAATGGATTGTTTTTCCTTCAAGAATAGAAGGTGTGGAGATCAAATCCAATGCACACTTCACTTCAGTAAAGGAAATATGCACAGGAATTGAGCAGGAAAGAGAGGAGCCAAAGAAAATTAAAGTTCATCTACAACTTACTCATTGGTCTTTGGGAGTTGGAGTTTAAACCGGATAGCATTGACATTAAAAAGAGTCTTCTTGGCTAAAAGGGTCTTAACTGCCTTGCACTAAAAAGCAGGAAAAAGGATAGAATGAAGAATCACTGCTAAATTTGGTCAAGTGAATCTGCTTGGACTGCAGACAAACTAGACCAGACAATATGTTACTTCACACCTTGCAGTGAAGATGCTTCTGCCCCTGTCCTCACCTGTCTAGTTTTCTGTTTGCTGTAGTGACAATGACACATGAAACATTAATGACAAGAGTGGGCAGGAGAAAGCTGCAGCTGAATTGTCACCGCATGTAATGGGAAATCCAAAGGAACATTTTTGGTTCATGGGTAGCACATGACAGCCATCCATATGCAGCATTGTGCAGATTTGCATATACTGTTATTGCCAGTTAACAGTAGTAGAACTAAACATTTGAATGGGAATTGGTTTATTGAAATATGGGAAACCAAAGACACTGGAGACCACTGGAGAGGTGAATGAAAATCAAGCCACTCTTACCCACCACATTAAAACTAAAGTAAATTCCAGGAACCTGCATCATAATTCATTTTGCTGAAATTTTCTAGTCCTTCAGAAAAAAATGGAACCAATTCAGTTTAATTGAAAATGGCAGTTCCGGCAGTCCCCGGTTACCGTCGTTAATAGAGGACCATGTGGGTCATTAAGGAGGTCCACACATGACTGTGACTTTCAACTTCCTGCTGGCTTCCCCACTGACTTTGCTTGTGGGAAGCCGGCAGGGAAGATCACAAATTAAAATCACATGACTATGGGATGCTGCAACAGTTGGAAATCTGGGCCAGTTGCCAAGTGCCCAGATGAAGATCACATAACAGCAGGGGCCCTGCAACAGCCAGAACTTTGAGGACCGGTTGTAAGTCCCCCTCGTTCAGTGCTGTCGCAAGTTTGAACACTCGCTGAATGAGTGGTCATTAACCGAGGACCACCTGTATGATACACAACCTCAAACACTTGCAGTTATTAATCATATTTGATTTAGAAGTATTAATTTGGTCACAGAATATATCTATACAAAATCTTTATTAAAATCTTTGAACTGTTAAATAACAAAACAGCTGACATACTAAATGTTGCCAGTGTTTAGCAAACCAGTACTTGCTGCTATTAAAACAATTTAAAAATTTAGCATTTAAAGATACAAATGGCTCAAAATGCAGTCTGTTCTTAGTCTGATCATAAATTCACGAGACATTGAAGGAACTCTTCAGCCGTAAAGACTATATCCATCATGCCAAGTCTTTGAAGAGTGCCCCGGAAGAAGGGAGACTCTTTATTGTACTACTGGGATAGGTCATATCCTTAGAATGCTTGGCTCCAAAAGTTCAGATATATTTTGCTTTCTTGTCTTCTCTTGTTTAATTTCATTTTGTTGTTGCCATTCACTTAAACTGCATTTCTGTTGCTGACTAGTCTTGTAATCCATGCACATATGGTGATGTCTGTGGAAAAAGCGTTCCCTCCCACTCCCCACCCCACACAAGTCTTTCATTTGGGCTTGTTTCTTATCAAATTGTTGCAGATGTAATTAAAGTCCAAGGAATTAGAACCAGTCATGGGTCTGAGTTCTTCCCCAAGAAGTCATTTGCCCAGATGTTTAAGATGGTGACTCTAAACCATGTGCCTATGAAGGACATCAGTCGAAAGACCAGAATTCAGTTTACCATATCCCTTCATGGCATTTTAAAAGGCAGCCTTGTCACAGCCATCACCACGAGCCATGTATGAATTTCAGTGGCAATGACATATTTGCTTGCAGTAGGTCATTTTTCATATTGCATGGAATGGGTGAGTCTAGATTATCTCTGCAGGTTTCTCCTAGCATAATGTACAGACCTCCTTCTCTGCAAGTGAACTGTATCTGTTGAAATGATTTAATGTGAGTTAATCCTGTTGAATCCAGAATTCTTTCAAACTGCTTTCTGTTGAAAGATTATAGCATGTTAGTCTGTAGAGAAATAAAGGATATGAAGAGAAAATAAATTGATTACAGGGAAGGATAATAACAATAGGAAAAGGTACAATTTTCACGCCCTCCCAGTGGTTCTCTTGGAAGCATCCAGCTGGCTACTGTATGAAGTTGGAAAGATGCAGGATTAGATGTACCTTTGTTTTGAAGGTTTTTTAATTTAACTAGCAGTTATAGATGGTAGACCTTTTAAGTTCATGGTCAGCTGTCAAACTGGCAACAGTTTATAGTCAATTGTTATTTATAGGCATGAGACAAATTTTAGTCTTCTGCATGCTATCTCCAAAAAATCCTTTTCCATAAAATCCTAATTATATATTATACATGCAGTATGTCAGCTTCCTGCTCTAGATTTTAGGACTCTATTCAGCAAATTGAAATAAGAACCACGAGGTAAAAAATAATTTTTTTCCGAGTGAAAACTTCATTATTTGAATTTTCCTTCATCAGAATTTATATTGCAGTCGCCTTAAAGTTTGCCAGTGTTATTTCTGACATTCAAAATGCTAAATAACTTTTGATTGAGGGTTATAGACTGAGCTTTATTAAGAATTTTAACGTGCCTGCATGGAACTGCTATCCAGATAGATTGCAGTTTCCTTGCAAGCACTTACTTAATTCTTTACAGTTTTACATCTGAAATAAGTGATTCTAGAGTAATGGACTAACTGCCTAACATCAGCTATTATTCTTCCTTTCCAAGCTTTTACCCAGTGTAATGTGTAAATCCGACTTGCAGCACAGATGAATGATCTGCTACTGAATATTTGAAACAAATGTTTTCTTGCCCCAAATGGCGTAACTGATTTGCTTTTTGTCTCCTTCCTTCTTACTTTTACAGCTATATCTGGCATGATAGTTCCCCCCATGTGAAAGAATTGCCTTGAAGAATTAACTAACGAAGGATTTGGAATCTGCTCCAGAACAAAGTCTGACCCAAGTCCCAGAGAGGAACTTTTAACTCAGGCCTTTTTTCAAGGAAAAAGGAAGGATCTCACAATAACTGCAAAGTTTTAAAACACAAGAAAATTTTAAAAAATTGCCACCCTTGCAAAATAACCCTGAAACCTACTCAGAGCCTGCAAGGGCAAGGTGTTAATTTGAGCTGTCCGTCCCAAGTTCTTGGGAGAGAGATTTCTTTTGTGTCGTGAAGAAAATTCACTGCAGTCTTTTCAGTTTTTAGTGGTCACCTTTTGTCTTTTACAAGTCAGAATGGGAGGGAGAGGCACGAACATGAAAAGCCAACTTGAGAACTCTTCTTTGTTGTAGTTTTTTAAGGCTGTCTTAAAGGGAAATAAAGTGGCAACACATAAAATGAGTTTCTATGGAACAGAAGTAGAAGTGCCAGTTAGGGGTTATTGATGTTTTTCTTTCCTTCGGAAATTAATGGCTGTGCCAGTAGGGGTTGTTTTATATGTTTTACTTATCCAACAATAGCACATACATCTGGGATTTGCAGTCTGGGGAAGTGTCTATGGATGTCCATGTGCGTGTGTGAACATACACACAAAGATACATCACACGCACACACACAAAATTAGGATTCCATTTTAGAAGCTGTGGGGGTTTTTTCCCCCTCCTTAATTCCTCCACGCCTCCTTCTGACAACATTGTACTTAGAAGATTGTGTAAATACTGCAAGGCAGGGAAAAAAGCATATGTGTAGCTAATGGACATGCATATTCCATCTTTACTTTGGAAACCCAGTGCCTCTGGATATAATGCTAAAAACTGCAAATTTGATTAGCATGGCTCTCTGTCTTTTGCTTTTAACCAAGAACTTAAACCCAAATACAGTTTAAACTGTCTTTCTCTAGAAATCTCATTGGAATTTGATAGGAGAGGATAAAGGCACAAAAGGAGCCATTCAGTACATTTGGGGAGCATATTTTTACCAGAAGCATCTTTCCGGATACCTGTATCTTTCATCTGGGGATGGAGGGGCATGAGACACAAGATTCATCTTTACCATTCCAGAGGATGGTTCAGAAGCACACGCAAGGGAAAAAGGACATACCTGGCTTGATCTGCCATTGTTTTTATATCAGTCAACCCTTTCAGTTTGCAACGTAAGCTCTTAAGCAACAGGTGGTTGCATTTTTGAGGATGTATGCCTGAAAAATGGGTTAAGAACACAGTAAGTTAAATGACAGTTGCAAAATAAACCACCCAATTTACAGGAATTTAGCTCTCATTACTTGGAAAGTGTTCTTAGTCAAAGATGCAACAAACCTTTAAAGATGCATTTATTAAATAATCTGTTTGGGTTTTATTTTTCCTTTGCTGTGGCATTTTGTATGTAGTTATAAATAAATACTGTAGATTTTTTTTTTGGCCAAATTATTGTTCTATTTATACAATTTAATGTCTTAAGACAGATTTTCAACCACACACAAACATACAAGAATTACTGCATATTTTGCAAAATGAGCTCACTACCTTTATGATTGCACATGCTTGCAAAATGAATTAAAGAAAAAAAGCTTTTTTAATGAAGAATTTTGTAAAATATCCATATAAATAATGTATTTAACTTTGAAATTTGTACATTGCTTTTTCTCTGCAGCATCCCATTTTATTTTATTGTGTAATTTTGCTATGTGAAAAGTGCTAATTTGTTTGTTCATTCACAGGTGTGTTAGCTGTTAAAATGTGATTTAATGCAATTCATTTATACTTTATTTTTAGTCATTGTCTTAAACCAGGCTTCCATTTCTGTTTTAAGTTCACCAAAGCCATTGTCTATTTTTGTATTATTTCTAAGTTAAGAAGTTTTTTTTTTCCCAATATATTGCAAAAAAGTAGCATATTATTCTTATAGCATTTAGTTACGTAGATTTAAAAAAAAAGTATCCTTTGCCTTTGAGGCTTATTAAAAGAAATCTAAAGCTGTTTTACTCTATTAATATGCATGGAATCTCTCCCCTTTGGAGTGAGGCATTTTTTGTGCATTAAATATGGGGAGAAACTTCATAGAAATGAATGAAAATACTTTCTTTCTTGTCTGCTTGTATATTTCTCTGTCTTTCACATAAATATAAACCAGCAAATTGGATGCCTTAACAATGCAAAGCATATTCATTTCACTTGTACATTGTACTGCGCATCGAAACTGTCAATCATCACTAACATTCTAAGGGAAAAAAAGGATTTTGAAAAGCACAAAAGAACTGTTTTGTTACCTTAAGACAATGTGACTTTTTTCTAGACAAGCAACAATGCTGCAACTGTGCATGCTTCCTGTATGAATCTTGCAAGGGATTTCACTCAGATTTCACTGTGTGATCTGTTGGGAAGGGGAAGAGGGTGGGGGTGGGAGAGAGAGAAAGGCAAAAATCCATAATGTATTCTTTCCCCACGGAACAACAAGAACATAGTCACACATAAAGAAACTGGAAAATATAAGGAATGATCAGTGTATTGTTTCATTATAGTCCAAACATTTATTCTAATTCTTATAGTAACAATGGCACACAAATGTAATCAAATTAAAGCCATATTTTGTCCAGTTATGCCCTCCGTGGAATCCCAATCAGTTTATTATTTAGACAGCTACAGGAACTCATGAATGTGTATAGCCTGTTCCCTTGACCTCCAAAGATCATGTGAGAGTACACAGACTTTCTTTCTTTCTCCAAGTATTTATAGTGCGTGATAAAGAAAAGTTATATTTTAAATTATCTGCCTGCCCCAAATAGGATCCTATGAGTTCCAAGTCCAGTCTTAAAGATGCCACTCTTTACAGAATATGGCTTTAAGTGGGAATTATCATGTTTCAGACATACCATGTGACGTCTCACATTGGCTGGGCTGTGAGAATGATGTCTGCTTCCTCTCCATCATACCCAACTGCATCTAAAATGAAGTCATCTCTGAACTGATTCTCCTTTCACTTCTTACTGAACCTTTTGGAATAGACACAAACACTGTACAGTTCTATTGTTAGAGAAAAAAAAACCTAACTACTGTAGAGATTGTTATAATTATTTTGCAGAAATTCAAGCTGTAAAAACTTTTCAACTTTCACAATATTTAATTAAAGTTACTTCCTGTCTGTGAGTGCAGCTCCTGGCTGAGTATTTATTCCTTTGGCTTTGCTAAGCCAACAGAGGGTGACTGTGTGAGGTTGGTTTGCCCCTTGTAGGCCTCTACTGAAAAATATGAAGCAGCTAAAATAGGGGGAGGGAGGTACATGAGCTGTGAGTTGCTTGTGAGATAGAGAGATGATATTCTGAGGCATCTTCTTAGGTATTTTGACCAGCTCGAGGACCAACATGGCTGTCCCTGTGTTTAAGGAACTCTTCATACATATTGAGGGATGTAGCTTTATTTTAAAGCACTATCACACTGAATAAGAGTCCTCTTGGTTCAGGCCAAGGCATGTTTTCTCCAACATTTGGTATTATACAGTGAGGAACCACCAGCTGCTTTCAAGAAACAAGAGATGATGGTGATCACCCTCTTCAGCTGTTGCTCCTTTGTGCCTGGTATTGAAAACATGCTGCCTATGATTCAAGGCATAGTCTGTTGCTACCAATAGTCCTAGCCACCATGAATTTCTCCTGTCTCCCTTTCAAACAATCTAAATTAGTGGCATCAGGACATCTGATAATGTAGCTTATGTATTAGATAGAATGTTTCCTTTTAGCAGACCTGAATTGCTTTGCTTGTTAGTTTCAGTGGAGGGTCCCAAGCTCTAATATTGTGAAGGAGAGAAATAACACCTCTGATTGTATATACCCCAATGATTGATTGATTGATTGATTGATTGATTGTTATAGATAGATATTCCCTTTCCCTCCATCATTACTCTTAAATGTCCTGTATACCAAAGTTGGTCTTTGTTTGAAAAACTGCTCAAACCCATTTTGGCTGCCCCTTTTCACCTTTTCTCCAGCTTTACAACTGTGGATGTGGTGAGAATTTCATGCAATACTGAAGTGCATTCAAATATAGATTTGTAAGATAGCATTTCCTGTATTTATAATTTCCACTTTAACTTCAACTCCATCTGTAATGTTTTCTGGGATGGAATTCTTCTCCTCTTCCTCCTCCTCCTCATCAGCTATACAATGAACTAGCATTTTCCTTGAACTAGCCACCATAAATCCAAAATGTCTCTTTTGATCAGTCACTGCCATCTCAAATCCTTTGACACCTTCATAAATAAGTTAAAGTGCACCAATCCAAACAGATTCTTGTTATTAGTTTTTATGTTACACTTCTTTCTGAGGAAATTTGTTAGCAAACTTCTGGACATTTTACATTTATCTCTATACACTACTTTGTGTTGTTTACCAAAGCATAAGGAAGGGGACCTGAATTTGCTCAGCAGCCTTTGGTGATTGACTTTGTCAGAGGATTTTTAAAAAAAACAACTATATTCCATCTTTCATCACATCTACATGTTGACACCTTCTAAAGAGAAGTTAGAGGGAGAAGACAGACTTTCACAAAATACATGCAGATTTCTCTTCTAAGCCTTTATACTTGATGATTTTCTCTTAATAATTCTTGCTACTGCCTCAGCTGGAACAGATGTTAAACTAATTGGTATGTAATTACCTATATCTCTCACCTACTGGTTTTTTTAAAAAAAAAATTATGTAGGCCATTTTCAGTCCTGACTATAGATGCCACTTTTTGAGCAGAAACTGCAAATTTGTTAGAAAATTAGCAATTTCACATAGAAGGTCTTTAATAATCCTCAAACAGATAAGGCTTGGGAGGATTTATTTATGTAAGACCTATAATTTCATTTCCTCTCTATTTCCCTCCTTAAAAAGTCAGTTCAGACATGGACATCTACCTTGCATCCTCTTCAGTAGGATTTTCTGATCCTACTCTCAGGGGTACTGTACAATGAAAGCACATTATTCTAAATACATTGTATTTTTACTCTGATACTTCTTTGGTCTCTTGCAAGCTTTTGGAAATGAATTATATACAGGGGACTTTATTCCTTTTATTAGTAGAGCATAACCTGCCATTGCCTGCACTGAATACTATACCTACAATTGCATGTTGAATCTTATACCTATAATCTTAGCTAATTGAATATTATGCCTATAATCATCTCTGTGTGTGTGCGCGCGGACATACAACTTTAGTCTTAATACGGGCTATTACCTCTGAGCCTTATAGCCCTAGTTTCAGGAATTTCAATTTCAAATTCTGACATTCTTGTGCTTCTTCCAGTGTGAATCAGATAAGTAAGTTCTCACTTGAAAACTGGATCGTGTTGAGCTTCAAGCAGGTGAAAAGGTAAAGTTCAGGTGGCAGGAATAGGGGGCAGATTATGAAGGCATTCATTGATGTCTGAATAGAGCTTTTAATGTGCCTGAATCCCCAATAGACCATGTGGTATTCCATTTCAGGTAGCAATACATCTTGGACTGGTCCTGTTCTGATAGATTCATTAACAAATATTCTAGATGTTAATAATCTATGAACTGCTTTACACAAACATGTTCAGCACCTGGTGAACATAATGTTCAGATCAAGCACTGTTGTTTGAAAGACAGTAATTTTCAACACTCAACTACCAATCATAATATATTGTTAAGTGAAATAATGAAAAATGCAGTGATAGGCACATACGTGAAGATTAGCATTGGAAAAGTAGTGGTTGAACTGTAATGGCCATGCAATGCTTGGAAGTCATGATGTGATATGTTGTCATCAAGTGATATTGAATACATCCTTAGCAATCACGACTGAATGGACTGGGAACTTTAATCAATTAGTAGAAGAAAATAAAGTGATATGAGATAGTAGATTTGTCTGTCACACAAAAGTGATTTGCATGTCAATGGACTAAAAAGTTCTCCAGCTTCTTTCTGAAGTTGATTTCATTGTGGTACCATATGTCAAAAGGCAAGAACAAAATACACTTGGTCACTTCTAGTTTCCCTTGAATATCTTTATATCTATATAATGATAACACGTTGTTAAAGAACTAAGGGCAGTTCTTATTTTTTTTTCAACAATATTTTTATCAAGACTTATGTCTAATGGGTAGGTGTCAGATGGATTATCCACAAAGAGGAATGTTGAAGTCTGACCTTATTGGATACAATTTGATTGCACAATGGCAGAAAAAGAATGCAATTCAGTTAATGCCCACCAGGATTACTTTTCACCATAATTTTTAAAGACTAACATTTCAAAGTAAAAAATGCCCAAGAAGGCTACAAAGACCAGAATTTATGCTAGTCTCATTAAATCATGGCATCTTTCAGTGGTTTCAGAATCACCTGAATATGTTTAATGGCTAGCTTCTGTTGACTGTTGTCAGGAAGGTTGAGGAAAACCCCACTGGGCATACAGTGCAGGGTGCAACCCCATTGTCAAAGCAGGTTACACCCTAACAGGTTAACATCCAGTTCTGTTCCCACTAGAAAGGAATGCGATTCCATTAGAATACCAAAATGATTGGCAGTCTCAGGTTTTCTGGTGCATGATGAGAATTTCTACTGCAGAACATCAGCTATCAGCAAGGGGAAGGCTTGGAGAGTCTTTAATGATGAGGCAAGATCTGTAATCTTCAGTGTCCACCAAAAAAGAGGCAGAAGAGCCCCCTATTTTGACTTTTGTGTGGGACAAAGTGTCTAAGGAGAGTAAAGGTTTAAGCTGTACGCTTCAAAGGCAGCTGTATTGCTGTAGCAGAGGGGGAAAGGCAGGTTGATGGAATGAAATTAGATGGTCTTGGGGTGCCACAAATTCTGCTTCAGGGTATTGATTTGTCCAGCATCCCAGCTTCCCAGATTTCTAACAAGCTGAAGATCTGTTCTGAGGCTACTGGTACTTTCTCCAATACAGCTTCTGTTGGCTCTGATATTGCAAATCTCTGTCAACGAAACTATGCACACCATGATTTTGCTATCATGTTTGGCTGGATAGGGTGGAAACACATTCTGGACCTGTCACATGAAAGAAATCATCTGCTGCCAATAATTCTGCCATTGGTTTCTGTTTCTATCGTATTAGTGAAACTTTTAGTTGTTTACTTACATTGGGCAATGTCTACTGTAAGCAATACACCAACAATGAGAAAGGTACTGGCGATTAAAACAGATATGGTTTGAAGTGGTTGAGGAGCACCTAAATACTTAACAAACATCTGTAAAAGTCTTTCATAATAATCTCCATGATGTTATGAGAGCAGCTTGTTGGGGGTATCCACTTATCGTAAAGTCTCAGACCTTGCACCAGTCAGGTTTTACTGGATAAACTGTTTTGGCATTCTTGAAGAGATGGGCTTGTACATGCTGACATTCATCGTCACAGGGAATTGTTTCTAGCCACCTGGCTCCTCTCTGCAACCTACGCCATTGTTCCATATGTGGTGGGCAGCCCAATCATAGATTCGTATCACTTCACATGGGGCCATAAACTTGGAACACAACATCTAATTCTCTACAAAACTTTCCTGGATCTTTGGGAATAGAAGATAAGGTGGAAGCTATATTACTTAGATTGGTAGGAGACGAAGGAACAAATACAGACATGATGAGAGGGTCTGAGACTGTTGCATCTGTTTGATCTGCAATGTTGTAGTTTTTGAAGGGGCCTCCCCAGATCTTATCTCTCAGACAGTGCATCGCTCGAATTTCCAAGGTACCAGAGTGACTATCTCTGCTTGCTGAATAACACTGGCAATCTGCTATGCTACCCCTTCCAGGGGTCCCAAAATTTCTTCTAACTTTTCTAAAGCATGTTTTGCTGCACCTAGTTGTGCAGGAGTGATTGGTGGGGTCTCCTCTCCCTTTTCAAACTGGGCAAACTGTTCTGCTGTCTGCCACAGCTGTTCTTAGTGGTGCAGGGGAGGTGAGTATAATAGCACAAAGATCTACAATATTTTCAGGTGCCTCTTGTGCTAGAGCTGAAGATACAGTCTTATTCCACTGAAGATACTGAAGATGTATTCTGGCTAGTTGTCGACTTGGTAGTAAGAAATCATTATTTTTCAAAGTCAATTTGAACATCTCCATTTGGAATGCCTTCTTTATTTCCTTTGGGGGGGGGGGTCATTGTCCAATTGATTTAGTTT